TTGAAGAGCTCAAGGATAACGCGGAAGAACTTTATGAAGCTTCGGGTTTAAGCCAGTTTTTGCTGGTGGCAATTCAACCAGTCATTGAGCAAGTAGCAAAGAGTTGTGTTGAATCGGCTTTACTCCTTTGTTGTCGAGTGAACAGCGATCTTCTGAGCGATATTCAACTGCGCCAGAATGGTCTCAAGCTGAGCAACGAAAGACTGCAACAAGAAGCAGTTGCTCTTGAAAATGACCTTAATAGTCTAAAAGAGATCAAAGAAAATCAAAATAAGGATTTGGATAATATTTGCCAGATACTGGAATCTGACCTTAAGACGATCTTCGATCGTGCGTCCAAGAAAATGACAGAATGTATGCAAGCCATCTTTGCTCCAACAAACAAGAGATGGTATGATCCAAAGGAATGGCAACATATCTTGGAAAGTCAAAACCGCAGAAACAATTTCATTTTAGGCGCTATTGCCATTGGAGCGGCAGTGGGAGCGATAGCGAACCGAGAACTAAGTACTGCATTGTCAGTAGCTGCTGCTCCCCAGCCGATGTTATTCGTAGCGTACGGTAGTGTTCTCTTATCATCATTTATTGCGACGGGCTACACGCTCTCGGAGGGTCAAGATGAGGCTCGCTTCGATGATATCTCAAGTGCTCAGGCCTTTACTGAACATATTCGAGGATCAGTCAACTCTGTCTTACTTCAAACCTACACTGCAATTAAGACCGAAGTTATTCAAAAATGTGAAGCGGCTAGCAATCGTCTCTATTCATCGTTAGGCGATAATACAACGAGCGTTCTCGATAGAGCCAACAAACGGCTGAAAAAAACCTTTTCTATCGACCCCATTGTTCCAACGACATTAGAACTACAACCTGATTTGGTAACTCTCGATGATATAAGGTTCGTGCAACACTATCGATCATGGACTACGTTGTGGTTAGCTACATATGTATCTGAGAATAACAATACGACAATTCGCGGGGCTCAATATTGTGTATCTCGCGATAAACTAAAAGATCAATGTCTCAACACTATCACGAGGAACATGGAATATGCAAACTCAAAAATTATGAACGAAATGACCAAAGATATGAGGTACATTTTTCAAGCGCATTTCAACGCACTCCAGACTCATTTGACTAAGTACAAGACGGAAGTAGAGCAGTGTTTGCGTGACAACAGTCAAAGCCAGGAGAATCAAGAGAAGCTGAAGAAGACATTAGACAGTCTATATGTTGATCTGCATACGAAGCAAGAGGAATTTGCGCAATTTCAGGCTTCCATCAATTTTGAAGGAATTTGATTACATTCGCCCTCAGTCTTGTGAATGCTTATATATTCGCTGTGAGTGACGCACACACTATGACAGTCATCTTTATTGGCGAAAGTTGTTTAAATTTGACATAATTCAGTGTAATTTTTTCTTTGATTTTCATCGTGAGGGTGTGGATGTGGATGTGGGTAGTGTTAATGTAGGTATAGTTGTGTGTGAGGTTGAGGATGATCATATGGATTAGTGTGAGTGTGGATGATAGTAAGAGTTAGCGTGTAGGGTAAGAGTATCGGTTGGGATGCAGATTTAAAATTGGGCTAATTCTTTCAGGCCTACGCAATCAGTTGATCAAGCATTCTTGTCAGGGTCGAGGGTGTCGGTGCTGAAATATGTGCCAAAGGACGAAGATACTAAATACACTCTCACCCACCCGCACCCTACGCATCCACGTCCACATCTCACTCACTCACATCCACAACCACAATCAAAATGGTTTTTATTGTTCGTATTATCGACTTTCTTGTCTCTGTTGCTTTATTACCACTTGGAAGGGTGTGGGTGTGGTGGGTGTGGGTGTGGGTGGGTGTGGGTGGGTGTGTGGGTGTGTGGGTGTGGGTGTGGGTGTGGGTGTGGGTGTGGGTGTGGGTGTGGGTGTGGGTGTGGGTGGATATGGGTGTATGTTAGTGTTGCTACGCGTAATGAAATAGTATGACACTCACACCCTCACCCTCACCGTCACCCACATCCACACTCCGAGTCAATCGCACCTTCAAAACTATAAGACAACTTTTTTTCTCGAAACGTTGACATGACTCATCTTTCTGATGATGATCCAGTTATATGCAGCATTATTTGTTTGTTCTTGCCTATCTTAAAGTTTATAAATTCTCTGTACTGCAACAATCATTTGTTTTCAGTTATATAAGGTTCATATTAACACTAAAAAACTACTCATATTTACTTATTAATAACGAAAAATTCATGTTTTAAGTTTTGAATTTGCATTTGATTTTTATTAGGTGAAAAAAGACTACAAAATCTAATTCAATTTGTTCTCTGATCGTTTAGCATAAAAGATTAATTACGAAAACCAGACACGTTTGTATGTATACATGTGTAAAAACAGTTTTCTGATGTGATCAAGATTTCAATAAAAACCTTTTAGGCATTATTTATTACAGTAGAATTTTTATTTATTTATTGTATAATGGATAAAAATTAATTTTTTTTTCCTATTCTTTTTATTTCACTCTTTGAAGAATACCATCTGACATTTTAATTATAATTGTCATGATTTATTCAGTTTGCATTTTCTCCCTGACTTTTAGAATAATATCATCTCGCTGGATATTGACAACTGACATAAACCATTTTCTCTGTTTCCGCCTAACTTACACGAGCATACCATCTGACTGATAATTTGAATTTAGAGAGATTTTTTTCTACTATTTTGCTTCCATTAAAACACAGTGTTGCGCATTTCCTGAAATACTTTTAATGTTAGAAACGACTAGAGGTGTAAGCCGTCAGCCGATTTTTGCTGAAACCGACGACTAGCAGTTACTGATTTTGCTAGCGCCGACGCGCGTTCAAACCGACGGCTTGCACCTCTAGATACGACGCTCTTCCGCTAACATAGAGATATGTGCATAAATGACGCTAATCCTAATGAAGATAAGTCGACAACTTCTATTCTTTTGTTAGCTTCTTCATTTGATAATTTATTACACTTGACTAAAGTCGACTGACATATTATACATAAGGTATGCTTACGCGTAATAATCAAAGAAAATGCGTAGTAGAATTCTAAATCTCAACTGCATTCGCCTATAGAATTCTATTTTAATTTAAAGTGCATTGCATTTGTCTCGTACGTACTATTTTAGGAGTCTATAGTATTCTTTTATTTCAAACTGAATTTTGAAAAACAAAATGAGTCGCATTTTGTACAAAAAGCAGCTGCCTAGGACAAAAAAACAAGAGCACTGACTTTACTCACGTCTAAGCGAATGGCCCATATTTTAGTATTCAAAAGTGACATTAAAACTAAAGATACCCTATATTCTTTTCACTGTTTCATTTTCTAGATGTGAAGAGAAACGACTTGCACAAAATTTCTAAATAAGAACTAATAGTTGTGCTATCGTGACTACTATGCTATTGATAAAAGACCTAAGCAACTAACTGGACTAGAAGGCTAGGGGACCTTGGAAACTAGGGAAATAGGGCGACCGCAAGGACTAGTGGGACTAGGGAGATAGGAGGACCTCGGGAACTAGTGGAGCTAGAGAACTAGAGGACTAAGGGAATTAGAGGGATAAGGGGGACTAGAGGAATAGGAATACTAGGGAGATCAGGGGGGCTAGAGGATTAGAGTAGCTGGGGGACTAGTAGACTGGGTGACTAGAGCACTAACAGGATGAGGGGGACTAGAGTACTAGGGGGACTGGGAGACTAGAGTACTAAGGGGATCAGGGGCCTAGGGTGACGAAGAAGACCAGAGGACTACGAGGATTAGAGGGATCAGGGGGACTAGGGGATTGGGGGAGGGAGCTAGACGGACTAGGGAGACTGGAGGACCAGGGGAATTAAGGAGGCTAGATGGCTGGGTGACTAGAGTACTAGAGAGACTAGGAGGATCATCGAAGCTAGAGGACTAGGAGAATAGGGAGACTAAAGGAGGGTGTGGGTACTGTGTTCTTCTCTTACTCACACCCATATCATCAGCTAATCCTCATTGTTATCAGCATCGTTATTATCATCACCATTACAATCATCACCACCATCAGCTCCTTACTATAATAATGACTACCCTTTCCATCATTCTTCATATCACTATCACCGTCGCCCTCAATTCTTACACATAGCCTTTAGCTGCTTTTATTATGGGATATATTTAGTTTTCAACATTATTTAGGTTTAGCCCATCTTCCTACCCTTTCGCAGTCCCGTTAGTCCCTTAATCTCCTAGTCCTCTTAGTCTATTAGTCTTCTAGTCTTTTCATTTCAGTTAGAAATTAAATACACCATTGTATGTATTTTAGCCAATTAACTAAAAGTGAACCATCTCTAAACCTATCGATACATCAAAGCAATTCTATTTTTTATCCCTGACACAACCATCTAAAGTAGAGAGCTGCGGGTCCACGTTTTTCTGGACCTGAATCCGACCCAGACTCTAGAAAAAACAATATATTAGACTCGTACCCGACCCAGACCCGGGCCAGGTTAAGCCCAGATCCGGATTCTTTTTACCAATATATAGCACTCTATGTGTGCAATAGAGATCTGCGGGCCCACGGTTTTTTGGACCTGGACTCGACCCAGACTCAATAGAAAAAAATCTTGTTAGATCCAGACACGACCCAGATCCGAGAAAAAATTTTTTTGTCAGACTCAAACCAGTGCCTACACACGGTCGCGTCCCGGGTGGGGGTCGACTCACAGCTCCCTACACGGGACGGGACCTAAGTTAAGAGCGCGGGTTACAGGACGGGACGGTACACAAAAATCTTTGTCCCACCGATATCTGTTATAAAACGTTCAATATTTGAATAGATTATAACTGATCGTGCCAGGGCTAAACAGTTCACTGATATAAGATAAAAACTAGTATAAACTTTCTTAGTCTATTTATTCTTTCGCTCTTTCTTTATCTAGATATAAATCCTTGATATAAGCTATTATTAACTTTTCACAGTATATTGTACAAGTAATTGAATCAAAACAATGATGTTATATATACTATTATTGATCGGATTGTTATGTTCAGTAACGAGAACTCAATTCAATTTATATAATACTGATGTATCTCTTGATGCCGGTAACCTTCACACCAATTGCCTACATTATTATGCCGATATTGTGACAGAAATCACTGAGAAAGTTGAGTATTGTCTCGGTCCTATCAATGACAATGATGTATTGCTTGAGAGATTTCCAAATACAACTAATGGAAATTTCACATTCGAAGAATTACGTCAATTAAATGTTACTACAAAAGATCTTCTCGCATGGTCTGCTGCAGTTGATCTTACTGAACGATATCAATATTATATCGATCAATCAAACAAGTCATTAATATCGACAGAAATCTTCTTCAATTGTACAAAATCATGGTTTGGACCTCGATGTCAATATTCCTTCGGTTTAGGTACAACATATAATTTTCAACAGATTGTACGAAAGACATTCGCTGACAAATATTTCTCGACTCCTCCGTATGTTATTACTAGTCTGACTTGTTACATTCACTTGAAATGTGATCGTGGAGGTTCCAATATATGTCTTGATTGGCGTGAGATATGTGATGGACGAATTGATTGTATCGATGGAGGCATAGATGAAGAACAATGTTTCCAGTTAGAAATCAATGAATGTAATGAAAACGAATATCGATGTCGTAATGGATTATGTATACCGAAAGAATTCTTGGAAGATAAACAGTTTCAATGTCTTGATGTATCCGACTTATTAAACATCGATCCTTATCCACATAAAGGTATGTTTCCACATATATTCGATATTGAAGAACGTATGTGCCCAACAACCGATAAACAATTTAAATGTGGTGATGGACGATGTGTAGCAGATCATGATAAATGTATCAACAAACGAGATTTATTCTTATATGAATTGATAAGTATGCAAGGAAATTTATCTTCTATTTGCTGGATAACAATGATATGTCTGACTAAGATTCTCAATCAAGTCAATGGAACATCATGCCAACAATTCTTTAAATCGTCTAATATCACTGCTTACTTGCAAACTTGTGAAGCTGTTATTCAATTTCCAACTGTACCTGTACTTTTTGGTCACATACGCTTTTTGTATATTTTGAACGATACTAAACATGGTTTAAATACTGATCTTGCTATGATACCTAACTATATATGTTACGATTCGGAATTATGCGATTTTCTTATACCAACATTTCGAAATGGAAACTGTACTTGTCGACATAGTGATGATATTTATAATTTGAATTTTAGTAGAAACTTAACAACATGGACTTCTATCATTAGTGTAATTGAACCATATTTTCGTAAATGTTTGACTACACACAACAACACAAATCTTTCTCAATATTCGTCATTAATATACTGTTGCAAAAATTCATCAAAATGTATTTCTAAACACCGAATTCTCGACAATATCTCAGATTGTTATCTGAATGACGACGAAGAACAGTTTGAACTTAGCTGTTTAATCAACGATACACGACGTTTCAAATGTGGCAACGAAAACAAATGTTATTCAGCATCTGTTTCACAAGAAATATGTCCTCATCGGCGTTCTTTTACCATCGATGAGATAGATTTTCAACATCTATGTGATCGACATATTCAAATGTTTCCTGTACTAATCGATGGACAAAATTATACGGATGAAAGTGAATGTGAAAAATGGCCTTGTAATAATATTTATACACGATGCGATGATTTCTGGAGTTGTCCCTCTGGAGAAGATGAACATAATTGTACAAAACAACAGTTTTGTCCTTTAAATTCTCTTGATTGTGTATCTCCACACAATTATACTCTAACATGTTTACCAGCAAATCAAGTTAATGATGAACATATAGATTGTCTTGGGGCAGCAGATGAACTTCAGTACTGTCGTAGTGGTAAATGGACAAAAGGAACCTATTATGGATTTCGCTGTTGGAATGATAGTAAATGTATTCAAAGCAATTTTCTGTGTGATAACGACCGAGACTGTTCTTTCGACGATGACGAAGTTTTTTGTGGAGATGAGCACGAATCTTGTAGTGATTGTCATTATTATGGTTGTTCTAACGTGAAACAAGCTCTTTGTCATCTTCGTGTTTTGGGCAGAATGGGACTTTCATCAGAAACATTGCCAGTTTATCCTCTACCTTCAAGCAAAATAATTCAATACGTAACTCAACCGCAGATAGAATTACATAGTGTAGCAAAATATATCACTAATAAACCTCATGACCTTACATGGCCATGGCGTTGTAATCACGGTCTCTACGTTACTGTCTGGTCTGAAGATGATACTTTAAAATATAAATGTTTGTGTCCATCACACTACTATGGTGATCTATGTCAATACCAAAATCAACGAGTAAGTTTCACGGCAAAACTAGCTGCCATTAATAGACAGGGTATTTATGCAATTATTGTCACATTAATCGATGATGGCGATGATCGTCAACAGATAAATTCTTATCATCAGTTTATTTTTTCTAATAATCTAAAATGTGAACGAGATTACAATACTTATCTTACTTATTTGTCACGTCCAAAGAATATTTCAGCAAACTACAGTGTGCGTGTTGATGTATTTGACAAGACGAGTCCTATCAGATATATTGGTAGTTGGCATTTTCCAGTACCTTTTTCGTTTTTACCTAACAATCGAATGGCTGTTCTATTAAATATACTAGATCACCAGCCATCCAATGTTATTCAATGCTCTGTCACATGTCACAATGGTAAATGCATGAAATATGTGAATAAAGAAACAGGTTTTTGTCAATGTCATATGGGATGGTCTGGTGTTGGATGTGATATTCCTATTCGTTGTAGTTATTGTTCATCTGATTCGCTTTGTGTTGGTATGATTCATAACCGGTCTATATGTGTATGTCCTCCTAATAAAGGAGGTCCACGGTGTCTAATTACACTTTCATGTCCAGAAGATCTTTGCGAAAACAATTCTTCCTGTATCGTAGTCGATGATGGTATGCATGAACTCAGTTTTATTTGCCTGTGTTCGAAAGAATTTCATGATGTGTTTTGTCAACTCAAAAAACCAAAACTTGAAATTTCTTTTCATAACATAAAAGTCTCATCACCAATTCTATTATTCTATCTCTTCGGTACTCTACGATATACAGAAGATTCCGCCGTTATGACACCTTTCGGCAAAATGGGCTTTCGTGTAATGTCACAAAAATTAAAAATGTTTCAACGTACTGTATCATTAAATATTCCAGAAGATTTGCGTATAGTTTTTGTCAAGATTGATAACAGTTATTATTTAGCTTATCTGCAACGACATGATCACTCAGAAGCTTCTACTTCGATTGATTCGTCTCAACAATGTTTATCAACTGATGAAGTCTTAAACTCTGAATTAAAAGTTTTACCTAATATTCGACGAATGAAATATTATCATGTCATATGTCAAACTAAACTTCACTTATTATGTTTCTTTGATGAATCTTATATGTGTCTGTGTACTCTGGAGCGTCATGCCCACTGTCTCAAATTGAAACGTACTCCTATGATGTGTCGATATACTAGTTATTGCGAGAATGGTGCACAATGTTTGGAACAGGGCTCTGATTGTCAATTCGTTCCAATTTGTGATTGTACTGATTGTTATTTTGGTGATCGATGTCAATTTTATGCAAAAGGTGTTGGATTAACATTAGATGATATCTTTCGTTATGATATTCGACCGAATGTAACCATGCATAAACAACCATCTATAATTAAATGGAGTGCAGCAGTTACAATGATTTTGTTGGTTGTAGGCTTAATCAATAGTTTATTATCTATTCTAACATTTTATGTTAAGGAATCCAGAGAGGTTGGTTGTGGACTATACCTTTTTGCATCATCCATCACATCTCTTCTCACAATAAGCATGCTCACATTCAAATTTTGGTTTCTTATAATTACTCAAATCAATCCATTAACTAATGTTTCTACTCTTCGTGGTGGTTGTCAATCATTAGAATTTCTTATTAAAGTTTGTCTATATACGGACAATTGGCTTAATGCTTGTGTAGCCCTCGAACGATTCATGACTGTGTATACAGGCGTTCATTTTGACAAATTGTTGAGTAAACGTGTTGCTCGATGGGTGATTATTATCTTAGCATTATTAATTCCAATTTCTATTATTCATGAACCTTTATATCGTAATTTAGCTGAAGATAAAGATGAACAACGTTTATGGTGTGTAATTCCTTATTCTCGTTCAGTTCATACATACAACACAATTATCTCTTTCTTTCATTTTCTGGGTCCATTCTGTGCGAATCTTTTTTCTGCTATATTTATAATTTTTCAAGGCGCTCGTGAACGAGCAAGATTACAGCCACACCTAACATATGATCAACATCGCTGGGAACAATTCATGGCACACAGACATCTTATTATCAGTTCAATAACTCTAGTTATCTTATCAGTACCTCGTCTCATTATTTCCTTCTTATCAGGATGTGTCAAAGCATCTCACAATTCACCGTTATATGCTGCAGGCTATTTCGTTTCCTTCGTTCCATCCGTGAGTGTTTTCGTCGTATTTGTGCTCCCATCAAATTTTTACAAAAAACAATTTAAAAAAGGCATAAGCTCTTGTCAGCTAATAATCTTACGGCGTTAATATTTCTTCTTGAAAAGACATTTACAAATACTCTGCTTATTATTTAAATATGCGATATTCATTTGATGTTGCTTTTTTCGTGAAATAAGAGTGTGATGTGAGTGTGAATGGATTCATCTTTTCTTTATCCACAACCACACCCTTGAAATTGAATATACGATGCCTTGTACAGAAAAATCAGATGTAGTCGATTGGAAATAAGTTCCAGCAACACATGTGAAAGATGATGGGACGAGATAAAAAGTAACTATATCATTTGTAGAATGAAAATGGAATCAAGAGTCACACTCAGACTCTCAGCTAACTAAATAAATGTTTCGTGAAAAACTATTTTATAGCGTAGAGTAAAACAGAAAAATAATTTAAATGTATCAGTATTGGACAAAATCGATATAAACACATTTTTAAACATTAACCACTGATGAGTATCATAATAGAGATCATCAAATACAAATACTATTTGGTTTTTGACGATTGATTGTTTATCATTGATGATGATGATGATAAGAAATGATATGATCATATATATAGTTCTACATTGTGACTAAACAGCTGTTGAAACAAAAATAAGATTAAACGGATTCATTGAATTTTGTTTTGAAAATAGTTAAATATTATTTTATTTTTGCTTTCGATTCTACGAAAAAAACAAAGTGGATATTTATTGTTTGCTTCAAAAGAACAACAACAACAACAACAATGAACAAATACGAAAAAGAAAAATAATCAAGTTAACAGAGACGAATTACACGCACACATCTAAATTTTGTTTCTTCTATCAAATATTGCCAATGAGTTCAACTCCATACATCTAACATGTTATTTTGTTTTTTTTTGTTATATCTACGAAAAAGTGAAATGTACATTTTAGATA